TCTTTTTCTCATATTCTCTCCAGAAGATCTGCCTGTCAGCTTATATTGTTAAATATTATTCATAAAACAACTGTGGGGTTGTCAGATTTCTCCACCCTGTTATGTGAATTTGTGATTGAATGGAGATTGACATGGATCCTCTAATAATATTGTGAGTTATTCAGATCATCTCTCAGCAACAGCTGCTACATAAGGACACATCTCTTTTCATTTAGAATACCAGTACAGTTTATCCTTTACTAAAAGGACCTTCTCATCATCTCAACCACAGTCTTCCACTCTCCTGAAAGGCAACCTCCCCAAACCGTTTCCCAAACAATGTAGAAAATGAAAATGCCTTAAGTAGCCAATGTTACACAAATATGCACTAACCCAGATTGTGACAGGATAAATATTATGTCTGGGAAGACATTCATAGCAAGAACATAATGAAGGAATTTCATTTTATAAAAGCATTGGGAAAGGGTACTATTTTGAGAGGGGTCAAGATTAAAGTTACCAGGGAGGTCAACATAAACACAAATTCCACCAGGAAATGAAACCCGGGCCTGACGGAACCCAGAACGTTTGGCCTCAAGGGCTGGGGCTCAGTAGCCAGGAGGTGATGAAAGTGCTAGAGATGAGGTTGTCTTTTCCAAGACCAAACAGGGCCCTTTCCATTGACAAGCGAGCATGTGCATGTACCCTGATGACGGTGCAAAGGCCTAGGCTAGCGGTTTCCTAATTAAATAATCAGGTCATGGCTACACTGAAATCAGGGATTACCAAAACAGCATGGGGTGCAAGAAAAAGTCTACCTCATTTGTTCATTTACATGCTAATTTCCCAAGTTATCTACTGTGAGCAGCAGGTGCCAGGCTGGCCCTTTATGGTTAATGCGAAATTCCAAATGTGCAGATGTCTGGGACCCATGAATCCCTAGAAGGTTCACATAGGAGCTTCAGTGGACCTGGAAACTGAAATTGTCCACAGATTTTTGTGTTTAAATGCACATGTGCATTTTCCCCTTTCCTTTACAAAGGATTCTCAAAATTATCTATGATGCTTCTAAAACATTCAAATCATATCTTTAGAAAAATTAGAAGGGGGGCCCGCAGGTGGTATGCTGTTTGAGGAGCTGGACTCCCACATGACTGACAGTGGTCCGAGTCCTGGACCTGACAGCTTGAAACTCATGCCGGGCACGTGTGTACATGCCCAGAATCCCAAGAAGAAAATGGAGGAGAAGGGTCTGCATCCCCCTGGGAGGTGATTTCTCACTGTCCCTCTTACTGTCTGTCTCTCCAGAAAATGAACAAGTCTAATGGCAAAAAACTTTAAAAAAAAAACAAAAAAAAAACGGAAAAAGAAAAATCAGAAGGAAATGTGCAATGGAGTCTCTTCCCCTGTTTATGACATTGTTAAGGGCTTGGTCTGGTAGGTTTCTTCTTTGGTTCTAAATGGAAAAATTAAAGCCATGCTCATGGATTGATCAATCCTTTTCCAACCAGTTAAGTACTCTGACATGGATGAAGCTCTCACAGATTTCACTGCTGAAATTTCGTAATGTCTCTCAGGCGAAGCCACGATGTATTTCCTTACACCTCTGAAAATATCGGTAGCATCCACATCAACTGCAGATGTAAACTGATGTAAAATGTTGAACTAATTAATCTCACCAAAAAGAATTTCTTTTGATCCTGAACTTGGATGTTCTGGAAGTGAGGGGTATCCCCAGACAACGTGGTTAAAGTGTGAGTTGTGCCGAACAACCACCTGTGTGCTCACACAGCCTCTTCATTTCAGTCCGACTTCTCAGGGCTCTCTCTTATCTCCTGGGAGCTGCTATCTTTTCTATTGTAAAGAAATGCTGGGTTTACATGGAGATTCTGAATCAAAGAGAGAAACATTCCAAGAGGGAGATATATCTAGAACAAGATTTAAACTGCCAGGGAAAACTCAGTGGGCATGAAAGAGAAGGAAGACCGTTCAGCTGCTGAGGCCTTCGCTAATATATTTAGGGACCCATGTAGTCTGCAAGGCCATAAAAGCCGGACAGGCAGGTTTTCCCAGTTGCAGGCTGAACCCGGGGTTAGGAACTGTGCTTCTGGACATCCGCCAGCATCCAGACAGATCAGTTTCGTAGAACAGGAAAAAACCCTTCGTGTTCAACCCCTGGCAATTTCTGCAAGGTTTTGATCCACATGGACTGCAACTGGTAAAAGAAAACGGAGCTTCCTTTCTAACTTTCTTTCTGCACAGAGCACCAGGTCCCTCTAAGAATCCATCAGAGCAGGGGCTTTTGACAGAATTCAAAATTAGCCTTGAAACCTGTGGATGAGCTAGTAGCTAGGACCTTCTGGGCTGCTGTGTGGTATATTGATGCCAAGGGTATATTTTTGAAAACAGAAAATGAAGCAGTAGATAGTCTTAAGATCACTTCATTAAGCATAATGAACTTTTAAAGGACGAGATTCAGTGAGGAAGGTTAAGACTATAATCAAAATTAGTGAGACTTGGCTTCTCTCTTCCTAATGGGAAGAGAAAGAAAGAGTGAAAGATAGAGAAGAGGACAGAAGGAGGGAACAAAGGAAAGAAAGAAGGAAGGAAGGAAGGAAGGAAGGAAGGAAAGAAGGAAGGAAGGAAGGAGAGAAAAGAATCTGACAGCCTTTGATGTTGACATTTACACTGAAAGAGCAAAATCAAATTGTAGTTTATGTCTATGGAGTGGAATTATAAGACGGAGTCAGACAGGGCCTCTTGACAGCTGATTTTTGTCTTGTAGCACTGACCAAAAGAAAAAATTTATGTGTGTGTATGTATCACTCAAGAACCACAATATATATGATAACCATAATTGTACCAAATATTCAATTATGGTTCCTGTATTTTTTTTTTATTGCTGATTATTACTCTTAGGCAGGAAAATCTGTTTAAAACAAATAATGTCCACTTATGGCATTTCAATTTATTTTCTCATTTCAGAATATAAAAAGCTTTGGTTGCAACTATTTCGCTTTTTGGGGTTTATGCAAACTCAAGGGCATACTGGCATATATCAGGCAGCCAAACGCAAACAATCCACACCTTGGGGAAACAGTTCACTGTTACCCAAGTAAACACAAGCACCTATTAGTCACCCACTCAAAAACAGGAATGGCCAATGAGGGATGAGGTATCAACTCTCCATGCCAGAAAAGAAATCATGCTACTTTCAAAATCTCAGTTTTTATTGTCACCGACTTTCTGTGCATTGCCAGAAAGCCACTACTGAACTTCACATGGGAAAATGTCATTGGCAGGGACCATTAAATATTCTTCAAAACTTTTATAACCAAAATCTATGTACAGAACCACATAGATGCATATTATGATAAAAATACTTCCTTGGGAAAAGCAACCAAATGATACTCAGCCATCAATTCTTAATAGCACAAATCCACAAAACTGAATTAAGATCGTCAGCTTGGCGGGTGAGCATGGACCGGGTTGTGTGGCCTTTGTTTTTTATTGGCTTCTCACCCACTCTGCCAGCTACTCATCCAACGCCTTCAAGAGGTTTTCTAAACACACATCTCTGAATCATAATGCAAGTTCCATTTACTGAAAGGTGGGGACTTTTAATATAACAAGTGAACCTATTTAATGACTTATGCTTTTATATCTTACAGCATCACTCATGCTTTCAATAAGTGGATATAATTTTCTTTGCATTACCCTATTATTAACACAGTACAATGAACATATATTTTCAATCACATTGTAAGTTTTTACATTTTTTCCAGCTATAATTCTATTATGAAAATGCTCCAAATAGCTCGGATGACAGAAAAAAAAGCCAAAAACATCAAAACACCATTACTCTTCCCCTCTTTGACTAATCAAATTCCCTGAGAATGCAGACTTTTTTTATAGTCTTGAATGCATTTATTATTCTTACATTTTAAATATCTTTTGGTTGGTCCTTCTATTATTTTTTAATACAAGAGTTATTACTGTTATTTAGGTATTTATCAAAAGTTTTTTAAATTATACTTGAAATAGCTTATTCATGAATTTAATACCATATCATAAAAATAAGACTTTCAGAACAAACTATTCAACCTCCTTTAATTAAACTTTCAGTACTTGTGAGTGTCTATAAAATACAACTTAGGTTCTTACAATGCAGAAAAAACACAATATTTTAAAATGACTGGAAACCAGAGGAGATTTAAATGAACCTAGATTCCTCTTCTGTTCTGTTCTACTTTGATAGTGGGCTAAAGGCAAAGAAAAATAAAACTATACAAATAGAACTAATGCAACAATCCATTTGGACAATCCCACCTCTAATATTTTTAGTACATAAAGTATTAACCAGGCCCAACCTGCCCCCTAAATAATAATGAAACATTCAAAAGAAGGTCAAATTAACCAGATGATTTTGACATTATTTCTCCGTATTTTACCACAAAAAGATCATCATGCTTGACATTGTATTCCCATATCATACATTAGTCATTCCTTAAAATAATAAGAGATGATCATTTGAAATTCTATCATCCATCACTTAGAGCACATGGATCGTAAATTAAAGGCTTCCATTAAATAGATATTTGAATATTATCAAGAGAAGACCCACATTATGCCCCCATTGTTTCTAACATGGTAAGTTTTATATGTTTATGTTTTAGTAAAAATTGAAGGAGTTTCTTTAAATTCTACAGTTCATGTTTTCAGGTTCTAAATCAATTTTAAACCAATTCAGCAACATAAAGCAATAATACAGGTAGATTCTGTTAAAAACATTAAACGTTTCAATATACTTTTTTTTTAAAGTCTGACATAGCAGCAATAACAAGGAAAATCATGTTTTGAGGGATTCCATCACGGAAATTGCTATAAGTTCTGAAATTTGGGTTTGTTGCCATAAATATTATGGCATCACAGCAATTGTTAGAAATTCTGAAATTTGGGTTTGTTGCCAAAATAATTATAAATAAATATTTTGTTTCAAGTTCTGTTTGACAGATACATACCTCTTCCACTCCGACCGACAAACCTGAGGTCATTGAATCGTGCGACTTGGTTCTTCATGGCCGCAGTGGCATTTCTCAGCTCAGCCGAGTAGTTTTCATCATTGCCGGCCATCACGGTGACCAGGGTGCCATCCGGTACGTCCCCCAGAGCCACCACCTACACAGCAGTCAGGATCAAATGCAGATATCAGGAGTACTGTAACACATTGCTATGTCATTTGTGCCATAATTGTTCCAAAATTACATGCACATAAAATGACACCTTTTAGTTTACAGAGGAATTACAATCACAACTTAGGCAAAACAGCAGCAAACTTATTAATGGGAAGATTTGTTTCAAACTTATTAATGTAAAGATTTGTTTTTAATTTTTTAAATGACACTATGCATAGCTAAATATTAACTTTCAAATAAAAAAATTACTAAATCCATCTAATAAAGCTGCATAAGGTCAGACAGCACAGTTGGGGCAAGATTAACAATAGCAAGGGCTAGGAAGGGCCATGCCATCTCATACAACCATCTCTTCTTAACTTCCTTATTTGAGAAATAGAATGTCTTGTGTTTCTGAATATACAACCTAACCTACCTTTTACTTGCTCAGACATCTGCTGACACTCACAGGGCCCAGACTTTACTGTTAGATGCTTCAGTTTATTTCTGTTAAAATGAAATTCTATCTTTGCTGATGATTCTTGAATGACTTAAACTGTCACTTTGCAATTGATCTGTGATCTCTCCTATTCACTTCTGTTATTCCGAGTTTCACTAGCAGTTAATTCTAGCATTGAAGGAAAAAATATATCAGAAATGTATGCTTTATTTACGACTAATTACAAAATCAATAGAGCTCAGAGAAAAGGGGCAGTCACTGTTCTATACTCTCCTCAATTCAGGGATGGAACTAGGTTGCATTTTGTATCTGTGAGTTCCAAAGACGTATTAATTATGTCCTGATAGATGAGTGATCTGGATAAGAAATTTTTTTATGTAATCGAATAGGTATGGATTTCTTATCACAGCTATTAAAGAAAATCAGTACATAAATATTTCTGAGATTCAACTAATAAAAAAATAGTAACTTCCAGGTAAAATGCTTTGACATAATAAGGCCTGAAGATGCTTCATGCAATAGTACTCATTTCTTGTCCATCATTTGACTCTTTTAGAGACTATTTTTGGAGGGGTCTGGACATATATTGTTGGCTCTGTTTCCATTGTTTCTCTTTTTCAAAGTGGTCACAGACTTGCAAATCAAAATGCTTCCAGTTGTATTTGTTCCTACCATTTCTAGGATTCTCTATGGTACTTTCTGAGTCAGTAGTGAAATTTATATTACTCATTCCAATTATATAATCATATTTTGGTTGTTGTTTTTGGGTTGGTATTAATAAAGCGTTTCTTAATTTGCTGTTATTATTTCTTCCCCTGTTTTCTGCCCTCAATTTGTACCTAATAATTGCCGTATAATTTTTTGCAGTACCTATATTTTCAGTCCTTTACTGTATGTAATTAAGGTTGCCATAGGCTTACTTGGATGATAGACTCAAAGTCATCTTTCTCAAAATTCTCCTCCATTGTCTGCTTAGTCATGGGCCTGTCCTGTGTCTTCCAGATGACTATCTATTGTTTTTATTCATTACGCCTACGTTAGCTCTTGGGTTCTAAGGAGGACGACAAAGAAAATGAACCAACTCACTCAGAAGGAGAAATGAACATTTGACCCCAAAATTACATCAGACCAACCTACTCTCATAGTAATAGGTAGGTTTTTTCCACAGTCTATTTTATCCAACTGGCACCGTCAGACAAGGTCTAGGCCTCTTATCTCTCTTTTTAATCCTTTCATTCCAATAGTTAGACATGTTTTCTATAAAGGAGATTTTGAAATGCTGCTATTTATTCTCCAAGTACCCTCTAATTAGGTATTCAGTTCCCATGATAAGTGTGTTTGTTGCCATTTAATTAAGAGCAGTAATATGACAATTACCTTTTGTTTCAAAAGACATCATTGAAATAAATCTCTCTCATCAGTTATTCGATTATTGTTACCTTCCTTTCTATTTCCACATGTGTTTTACTCTGCTCTTTTTAGTCTCTTAAAAATTTTCCCATTTTTTTCACCATTTTCACTTCCTTCTATAAAATTAGCTAACAGTGTTGAAATGCCTTCCTTTGACTTCCTCATCCCCATCTCCCAGTGGTGACCCAGGCTTCTCTATTTTAATTTAACATTCAGCGAGTATACAGGGACTGGATCAGCTCCATGGTTTTCAAACTGAATAACTCATTGTTGGGACTGAATCTGTAAAGAGGTTAAAATAAATAAGTCTTGTTTTATAACTTCCACAATGTATTTTAAATTACCTTCCTCCTACTGCCATGCTGTTCCTAGGCTCCATGTCTGAGCCTCTCTCATCTCTCCAGTACTGTTCCCATTAGTGATTTGGCAAACTTGTAAGACTTTTCCCAAGTAGAAACAAATACAGAATAAAATTATCACGGTAACTAAATAAGAAAAGGTTGTTGATATTGGATTTAAGAATTTAAAAAAAAAAAGAGGAATTAGCTCTCACTCTTTGTTTTTCTTTGTTCTTTTTAATGTAGTGTAAATCAAAGATATTTAGACACTCACATATCAGTTACTTGCCCTTTTATTGATCTCTGAGAGTTTTTTCTTTTTTTTTTGGCGAGGGGTAGAAAGGAGACCAAATTAAATCTATGAAAATGTCATTAATAATGTATACCACCCAATTATTAAGCATATTTAAACTTGGCTAAATTTTTTAAAGTTTAAAACTAACAGGTCTGCTGATTTAATACAGATTTTGTCACTGAAGTTAATGAAAAAAAATCTAACTTTAAATAGAAAAAAAGAAGCAATTGGAATGAAAAGCTATAAACAATAGGTAAGGGAACACAAACATTTACATTTTAACACAGACCAAACAGACAAGAAGGGACTTGTTGGCCAAAGATATCGCATATTTTGTTTTACTTCTCTGTTTTTAAAGTATCAGGAAGTTGGGCAAAATATCAACTCTCCTATGTACGCCATGGACCTCCCAATACTGTTCTTGGCTAGTCTGTTCACAGTTCAAATTGGCTTTTTAAACCAATTCTAATTAGGTTGAAATTGCAGTTACAATTCATTTACTTTCAATCCCTTAATCTTTCATTGTTTCAAAGAAAGCTGTGGAGTGGAACACAGAATTCAGCAGAGATGGCATTTAATGCATAGCTAGGGAATGTGATCTTGTCCATAGAAATGCTACTTACTTCTATTTCTTTTTTATAGAAAGCATATTACTAACAGTACCCATGGCCTCTGAACTTCCCTACTGAAGGCATGTTTATGTCTTTGGACTCTAGTGTACCACAGCCTAAACAAACTATATTATTATAGCATTATAAAAATATATCTCAAGTCATCCAAACAGCTTTTTAGACTGCTTCTGTGAGTACTGGGAAACACAGCAAATTTACCTTTTATCAGTAATATCTATCTTTCCTACGCTAAAATAAAGTTGTTCCATGGGAGGAAAGGGGTGCGAGGAGGACAGATTGGGGTTCAGGATAAGCAATTAGGATGATTTTACTCTAGTTTAAAGAGAATTCACAATTAGAAATCTCCCTTTAGTTCTAAAGATCAAAGCAAAGGATTTTATGCATATAGTTTCAGAAGACTCCAAGAGAAGTACTTAAATGTTCTTTTCATCAATATCATCACTTTATCATTTCACATTTTCTCCTCTTTATGATAGAGAATGTAATAATTCTTTACTGATCAACTTTCTGAAGAGATTACCTGAGGCTTATCTAGAATCTAAATTTTGAAATAATCATTCTATAGAAACTGCTTGGGAGGTGGCTGGGTAGATGGGTAAGTACTGAATGAAGCCAAGACACAGAGAAAATCGACCTGGCATGAAGGAAGGTTTTGAAGTTCAGCCTGCTTCCATCCCTAACCTTTCCGCTTGCTCTCACTGGAAATTCTCTGCTCCTTTAGTTCTGTAGTGAGGAGGTCTCTTTGAGGAAGAGGTTTCTCTTATGAGGACTGAGTGGTGACAAGTATTAATCAAGTAATCTGATTTTTTGGCTACCCCCAAATGGTCTCAAGAGACCCACTCAAGAGACCTCGCACTTCTGTCAAGAGATTTACACATTGGTCTTAGTAGCCTACAGACTATTACTTGGTAAAACAAAGATTTTGTTTTAAAGTGAATTGTCAAAAGTCATTTTTAAAAGGAAGCCTCCAAGGTTATTATGATTCCTGCTCAAAGGAATTCTCTGATGGCTCATAAAAGCAATTAGTATGATTTTTCATTCCTTTAGAAGAAAAAGAAATACCTTTATTTATGTGGTAGCTATAGAATTTATAACCCTCCAACTCCTAAAGAGTCCTTATTAGTTATCTGATGTTTTGATATATTTGAATGTGGGTTCCCTGGCAGATGAGAGAGTGCAGAAGACCCTGATCTTCCTCCAAAGGAAGCATCAAGTCCCTTAGAGTACTGTTAGTGTCAGGGACACCTTTGCTTGGTGATCAGCCTGTCTCCTCTCTGCTCCTATCTGAAAGTGACCCAGGGTCCCAACCCTGTCATCTAGCCTCAGGGAGGGTGAGCAAGTGCATTCACCTGCAGAGTCTGTTCATGTAAAGGGATTAGAATGATTTAAAATGGAAATGTGATTGAACCCAAATCTAAATAAATAGAGGATGGGAAGGACTAGAGTCAAGCGGCTGTTCCCCTTATCCTCATTTCTGTCCCCTTCTCACAAAAACAAACAAAACAAACCCACCACCAAACGCTGCTTTCAGAAAAGGCAGTGGAAAACGAGGCAATTGTATAGACATAACCAATTGCAAATTTTGTTCTGCTTCATAAATCACCATCTAAATTTAGAAAATGTTACATTGCTTAAAAATAAAATATTCCAACAGTGATTTTTAAATAACTCAATATTCATTGTAACTAGGTCAAGATCCGGCCAAAGTCTAAACTTTTGTATAGAGGCTTATTTAACTAGATTTTTTTTTTTAAAAAAATAAGGACCCAATCTTTACAGCTTCAATCACCTTTCATTAGCCCTTTAAATGGACAGGAAATGACTGTTCTAAAGTCCTAAAAAGCTGTACCTTTCTTAAACCCACCAAAACCAGAAGAACAGAATCTCCACCGCAGAAATGAAAGTCCTATTGCTTATTGCCAGAGTAGTAGGGTGGTTGTTTAAAAACGCCCGAGGTTGTTTATATATCCCTGTTAAAGGCCAAGGTTTTTAAAGGCAGCTAAAAGCTACGGAAAGATCGAGGATGAAAAATGAACCGAGACCTCTTGAGCTGCTGGGCAGATGTTGCTGGTCCACGTTGTCCTCTCTCCACTAACAGGAAAACGGACGGATTGGACCTCGGGGCTCTCAGAAGACAGCCCTGGTCACCTTTCTCTGCCCTGGGCTTAATCTAGGGGAGCCGGCGATAACGTTCAGAAGGGTTCCAGGGGAAGAAATAGGATTCTCTACCTGTAGCCTCTGTCAGGAGTAGGCCAGAAGCTCAAAAAACTGTTCAGAAAACTTTCGCAAACTTGACAACGCCCGCCGGTGGACTTTGGACATGCAAATTCCTACAGCACGGTTAAAGAAGGATGGCGAGGGAGGGAGATCCCTGACAGCTTCCCTTGTCTCTGATCCGAAGGTATACAACTATCTGTCTTATTTCCTGATGGCTTCATTTCAGGGAGACAAAACTGGGTGATAATCCAGACTGGGGGCAACGGTATGGAGTTATAAACCCCCCTCGGGTTAAAAAAATAAGGACCCAATCTTTACATCAATCACCTGCTTTCATTAGCCCTTTAAATGGACAGGAAATGACTGTTCTAAAGTCCTAAAAAGCTGTACCTTTCTTAAACCCACCAAAACCAGAAGAACAGAATCTCCACCGCAGAAATGAAAGTCCTATTGCTTATTGCCAGAGTAGTAGGGTGGTTGTTTAAAAACGCCCGAGGTTGTTTATATATCCCTGTTAAAGGCCAAGGTTTTTAAAGGCAGCTAAAAGCTACGGAAAGATCGAGGATGAAAAATGAACCGAGACCTCTTGAGCTGCTGGGCAGATGTTGCTGGTCCACGTTGTCCTCTCTCCACTAACAGGAAAACGGACGGATTGGACCTCGGGGCTCTCAGAAGACAGCCCTGGTCACCTTTCTCTGCCCTGGGCTTAATCTAGGGGAGCCGGCGATAACGTTCAGAAGGGTTCCAGGGGAAGAAATAGGATTCTCTACCTGTAGCCTCTGTCAGGAGTAGGCCAGAAGCTCAAAAAACTGTTCAGAAAACTTTCGCAAACTTGACAACGCCCGCCGGTGGACTTTGGACATGCAAATTCCTACAGCACGGTTAAAGAAGGATGGCGAGGGAGGGAGATCCCTGACAGCTTCCCTTGTCTCTGATCCGAAGGTATACAACTATCTGTCTTATTTCCTGATGGCTTCATTTCAGGGAGACAAAACTGGGTGATAATCCAGACTGGGGGCAACGGTATGGAGTTATAAACCCCCCTCGGGTTATAACTTCACCGACATTGTATCAAAGGTAAGGCCCCAGTCAGTGAGGTCCCCATTGCCCCTCAGTCCATTTCTTTGGGAGAATCCTGACTTTTTAGCCTTCCCTGGAGGCCTCCCTGCTGGGCTGAGGCTGGGGTCTCTCCCTAAGGTCGCCAGGGCAATGTGGCATCCCTGGCATCCCAAGCGCACCCAGATAGACCAGGGACAGCGGGGAGAAACACCCGCCCCGCCTGCCTAGTCGCTGCCCTCCTCGGGCGCCAGGCTCCCGACCGGCCTCCTCCGCCTCCAGCACCCTCTCCAAGCCAAGTACCTTGAAAGCGATGGGCAGGGTCTTGTTGCAACGCCAGTGCGTGGGCAGCACGGAGCAGAGGAAGTTGGGGCTGTCGGTGCGCACCAGCTCGCCGGGGTGGTCGGCCAGCACCTCCACCATGCTGCGGTCGCCGCTCCTCAGCTTGCCGGCCAGGGCGGCGCCGGCGTCCGGAGCGCCCAGCGGTAGCGCCTCGCTCATCTTGCCCGGGCTCAGCGCGGTGGAAGGCGGCGTGAAGCGGCGGCTCGTGCTGGCATCTACGGGGATACGCATCACAACAAGCCGATTGAGTTAGGATCCTGCAAACAGCTCCTACCAGTCGGCGACAGGGGAGCAGATCTTCAGTAAGAAGCTCCTGGGAGACCAACATACAAGTTCAGGGGCTTTATTACCGTGGGGGGCTTGCGGGAGGGGGACCAAGTAACTAACAGTCCAAGAAGGGGGGGTGTTCTAGTTATGCCGATTGGCCTCAGACTCAGGTAGGGCTCCTAGCAACTGACCGCTTAGTACATTAAAAAGTGTGCGCCCAGAATCCAAAGTCAAATGGCAAAGAGTCTATCTTCTTCTGAGTCTGGCTTTGAGAGTTTAAGTTCAGTCTTTCAGCTGTTACCAAAGTTCTCGGAGGCAAAATTTCCATACACTTCCTAAAATATTTATGCGACGAGCAAAACGACCAGCAAATACATGATTAAGGAGCTCCAGTGGTTAATTGTCCGGCAGTGTTTTGCAGGTGACTTTTGTCTAAAGTCCCAACACAACACAAAATACAGGAGGAGTGTCTTCCATACACAGTTCCACTTTTATCGTGCAAAACTGTCTTCAGTCCTCTAAAGCAAGAGCTGAGACTTCCAAAGGTCGTGCCACTAATGTATGTGCACGTATATATAAATATATACATAGGCTCTACTTCATAAAATATTTACAATACAATCTGTAGAGAATTTAAACACAAAAGAAATCCATTAATGTTCGCTGCAGCTTTTTTTTTTTAAAGTAGCCTTGAAATTCAGCTTCAGTGGTTAGAGCAGGACTGGGCTAGAAGTATTTGTGTTCTCTCAGTAAATTCTGGCAAAATGTTCAGAAATTCGGCCTTTCAAACACCTCTAGCTAATCTTTAAAAAAAAAAAAAAAGTCAAAGTCCATGACAGAGTACAACTCTCCACTTCTGAGAACTTGGGTTTGGGGATGTTGGTTAAGTCTGTGGCTGATCCTGCGGTTTGGTGGGAGTTTGGCAGCAGCGGAGTCACACACACGCAGACACGCACTCTTCGGAAGCCAGCCACTGTCTACATCGGGTCGGCGGTCAGCCTCGATTTGGGCAGTAGCGAGACGATCTTCCTCCAACGTCGCCCCAGTGCCTGGCGGTTAGCTGCTCCGACGCACAAGTACCCACTAACACCACATAACCGCAGCAGGTGGAGCGGGCCTTAAGAGGCGACTCCGCAGCGCAGAAGGAAACAGACCGGGTAGGTCGGGTTACACACGCACGTACACACTACCACGCACACTCAACTTCACGGCTCGCCTCGAACCACAGCACACTTTCTCCCGCAGTTGTCAAAGGAAACAATCAGGGGAAAGTTCACAACCAGGAAAGAAGTTGAAACATCCAGCTAAAAAGCCAGTTAATTGAAAATTAAGAAATAATAAATTTAAAACGAAAGGTCCAACGCAGGTCAAGGAGACGCAGCAAAGGTTGACTTTCTTCTGGCGTCCCCACCAGCCTGGGGAAGAGCTGCCTGCCGGCGCAGGGCTGGGCAGCGTGGTGCCCTGGCTGTGTCCGGCCGCGGGGCGCCCGTCCCACCCGCGCCCGCTGGCTCTATGAATGAGAGTGCCTGGAAATGAACGTGCTTTTACTGTAAGCCCGGCCCGAGGAATTCCATTCCCTCAGCTCGTTTGCATAGGGCGGTCGGGCCAATCACAGGCCTTTCCGGTATCAGCCAGGGCGCGGCTCGAAATCTGTGGCTTGCCGCCGCCCCCCCCCGCCGCCCCCGCGCGCTACTGTATGCAGCCCCGGCAGGGAGTCGGAGGCCTCCGCAGCCACCTCCGCGCTGGCCGCGCACCCGCACCTACACGGAACCACGAACACACACGCACGAGCTCTCAGGCTTGCCCCAGGCCCCTCCCAGTGCAGACCCCGGCCCTGCATCAACGCGAGGCTCTCGGTAGCGCAGTTGCCCGCCTTAGGGCAGCAGCGCGCAGCGGCGCCACAGGAGGCTACGGCCGGGGGGACGGAGGAGGAGAGAGGCCCAGCCTTCCTGGGGACGACTCGACTCACGCGCCCTGCCAGGAAAGGCCCCAGCCCGGAGACCCTGCGAGCCCTGGAGACTCAGCAGCCGCCGAGAGACTCCCGGGACTCGGGCGACTCTGGCCCTGCGCGACCACCCACACTAAGCCTCAGCTTCCTGGGCAGGGTTGGGATTCGGCAGCAGGGGGCTTAGGGCCTGGCTTGAGAGAGGCTTTGCGCGCGCTCTCGGGTCTGTTGGCAGCTCCATTGGAGGGTGGCTCATTTAAATGAGAACAGGCGCTCCACAATTTGGTTTTGTGTTTTAAGCTTTTTCTCTTGGTTTGTTTGCTTTAACTGGTATTTTGCGCCGCGTCGGGGCTGCGGCTTTATAACGCAGCGCGCCCCGTTCTGGCTGAATGTGCTTAGCGAGTAGAGGAGTTTCCTGTTAAGACCCCCAAAGAATCAGCTCCTTTAAAGAAAGTTGATAGCATCCGCTCAGCTTGCTCCCAGTCCCCCAGCGTCGGCTCCCGCAAAGGCAGCGCAGAAGTCTTGCCCCGGGGCCCAGGCGCTGCCCGCCCAAGCCGGAGCCTCCCGGGTCGATCCAGCCCTGCACCTAGTCTACAGCTCCCCGGAAATGGCCCTGGCTCCTCTGCCTGCCCCCGGACGAGTGGCCCCAGGCACTGAACCCACTCTGACTCTACGCGAAGGCGGGAACTCCCCCTGCGCCTGTCCCTGCGGCGCCGCGGGCATTTTCGCGGAGCTTACAGGTCGCCGCCCCCGGGCCGGCGAGCCTGGCCCCTCCTGCCCCCTCCCTGGCGGACCTCCCCCGCCTCACCGAGACTCCGCCTTCCTCCACCGCTCCCCTGAGGGGCCCTTCATCCCCTAGGGAACTTCTCACCCACTCCCCGGGGATCCTCACCCCTCCCCACAGCGGGGCTCCTAGTTCCCCGCCACGGGCGCCTTCCCCTTCCCCACGGAGTCCCTCGACTTCACTTCCCCCTGCGGGACCCTTCCTGCCACCTCTCCCCGCGGGCGCCGGGCTGGGGTGCTAGGGGCCGCTACTGCGCCGAGACTGTCCTCCGGCGCTGCCGCTGGGCCCGAAGGAGGGGGCGGCCGAGGCGGTCACAGTGTTGGAGCCTTTCCTCGCCGCCCAGGCCACTTCCTTCGCCCCAGGCCTTGAGAGGGGGCAGCAGCGGAACTCGCTCCACGCCTCGGGCGGCCGCGCTGTGCGCCTGGGACACCCCGACGGCGCCGGGCTGCGCCGGCCCAGCTCGCTGCCTTAGGGTAGCTGTTTTAAGAACTGAAGTTTGGGAGAAACGTTGGAAAACGGCGGCGGAGCCCACTTGAGCCTCCGCGTCCCGCCTCAG